TGTCATCCGTTAGATTACACTCTGGCTTTTTATGATTATCTTATTTTTAAACATACTTTATAAGTCAAACACACTTGTCTTTTAAATCGATCGTTACCATAATATTACAATGAATAATGGAAAAAAAACAGCTCTTGTTTGTAGTCATTACTTATGCAAAACATAATAATATATATTTTATTCGTAGGATAATATATCAACATTTTATGCGTTTTATTAATATTGTGCATTAACATTTTATAGTTAAAAGCTATATATTATATAGAGTATATCGTAATGATATGAAGACTGAAAGATTTACATCCTTTTTTTTATACAACTTTTGTGTATCGGATTTGTATCACAAAGACAGACTTTTTAAAATGTTTGCCTTGATCCGATTACCAGATAGTGAGGCTGGTACCATATATTTCTGAAAGTAGGGAATATGTTTTTTACAATAAAAAGTAACTGTTTGATGTAAATTTTCTATGAAGATAGAAAATTTGAGAAAAAAAATGTTATTCAAATTATTCATAAAATTATGTTGAACGTTTTACCGTCGTCGGCCTAGTAACGAGTTAACGGCAATGAAAATACAATAAAAACGTATTGTGTTTAACTATCATAACAGTGACCTGTCCAAAATCAACGGTTAACCCAGTTACTGTACAGTGTACACGCCAGCACTAATTGTATAGGTGTATTGTGTTTTTTTTATCTTAATACCATGTTACACGTCTGTTTGCTATGTTGTTTGTTTATCATATTTATAGAAGTTTGCTTTTGTTATATTTTTTTCATTTTTGTATACAGCCTATAAAATATTTCCAAAACATTCGTTAGTCCTACTTATGATTCATGAATCCTAAAAATGTGTAAATCATTTCTATTAATCCTAAATTTATTGTGAATATTTTCATGGATCTTTGGGTGTTTGATATTATTGTTAAAATATGATAATACACATTTGATCTAGAAAATAACATGTATGTATGTACATACAACTAACCAAGTATTTAAATATAATAAACAAATTATTTATCTACGAGTTAGACTTACAGTTAATCCATGTAAAATTAACACAAATAATTTTACTAATTTTTCTATTGTGTCTTAAATGTTCAGTATTTATTTTCAAAATAATATTATATTAGAACTAATATGACTCTTTTCGTGCACTTTTTCACGTATTACCCATAATTAATTTTTTTGTTTTTTTGATAATGATAAACTACTGTAAAAATAACTTCATATTTTCAGTTATAACTCAACAGCATTAATTTTTTTATTGAAATAAAATAATAAGTACAATAAAAAATTAAATTAAAATCATTATACAATACGACCAAAAAATTATACAATTTACTATTTTCCTATCAACAAAATTAATAGTTAATTTTTAAACACTAGTAACACAATTTTGGAATGACAGCTACTTTATTTGCAAATGTATTTTTATATACTTCAATTGAAACACTGTCCATCCCCGAGGATGAGGGATTTTGTGAGCTGAAGATATAGATTAAGTGTGACGTCATATAACACTAAAGTAACTTATGGTAATACTAAAAAAAATAGGTATTAAAAAAAAATAATAACAAAAGAAGAGAAGACTATTTACTACTTAATGTCATACAGAGAGGACACTGAGCGTCCCATCTCACATCGTCAATCTAGCTTTGTCGTTTAATCTCAAAAGTGTTTTCTGTGGATTCATATTATGTCTTGCCTTTTGCACGCCATGTGTTCATTATTCAAAAGAAACAATAGGAGTAAATGAAAAATAAAGTAGGTAATACCACAAAGAATTAGTGTCATAAAGGTGTACCATTGTACCCATTTAGAGTTTTTATTCGTATACAGAGTGATAACCGTGGGGTCAAATTTTTTTTTTAGGTTCTATCTTCACATATTTTATGGTGCTTATTTTTATTTTTGCATAAACAACTTATTTTCCTTATTTTTAAGAATATTTGAATGGGTTTTTTATAACCTAGAAATTCGGACTAAAAATTATCATAGGTAATATCAACAAATGGTTAATATTCAGTCATGAATTTGCAAACTAAAACGTTACGCTAATCAATCGAGTATTGACATTGTGAACAAAATATTAAAATTTGTGTAATAAGGTCTAATAATGATTAGATATGGTTTCAACCAAATGAGAAATTTAAACTATTGGAATTGCGGATTCTTTTGTTATTTCAAGGACTTACACGTCGGTTAAGTCTGGTAGAATATTGACCAACTCTAACAAAATGTTCTACTCAAACAATACTATATAATTACATACATAAACGATAATTAAAACTCCAATATTTTTTACTTGTTTCCGTTCAATTTCTATGAAAAATTGTATTTTTGTTTATGTTACCTTATATCATAAGAGTTTATATTTTCATTTTTTCTTCTAAATCTGACTAATTTTCTTATAATTTAATCTAAAGCCGCCTTTAGCCTCCGATTAAACGTTCAAATCCGTCCAATAGACACACTGAAAAGTGACATTTACAACAGTAATTATTTTATCAAACTTTCGCCGCATAAATCAATTAACTTTAAAAGTTATGAGACCAGAAACACATATAAATTAATCGGTTTAATTAATCAGTCGGCACGATTAAATTGCCTAATAGTTTAGGTCTAATGTTGCCTGTATTTTGTCCCATTTATACAGTATTATTTTTCGGACCGCTGTTCTTATTTTAAAATGTAAAGTCTCAGAGCGCATACTTTTTTTATTGACAATAATCACCCACGCACCGCCCTGTATACGCGCGCACAGGTATAATAATAATAATAAAATATGTAAAATGTGGGTAGGTATTGTTATTGTTCTACGTTCGGTGCGTATACATAAAAATAATGCATTATCGATTGCCACCGTGTGGTACCTACGATGATGACGATAAAATATGTATGTAGCTGATATATTATGTGTAATGAAAAATAAAAAACACGATTTTTTAATTAATGAACTTGCTCGTTCGAGCACCTACCGTAAATGACAATAATCACCGTTAGATAATGGGGAAATAAAAAAAAAATTGAAAAAATACAATATCGTGTGTATAGGTAAAAAAAAAACCCCCGAAAAGAGTGGCGACACGGATTTCGCGGTGGGATACAAGACGCGTGTCGCCATATTGTCGGGCGACCGGCGTGGACGTCGTGCGGGGATTGTTTTGCTCGTATAACCATATGTTTGCTACCAGCGGCTACGGTTTAGTTTCTATTTTCGCGTGTGCCCGTCCGGACGTCGCTGATAAAAACCTGGAGAAAACGGATATTATTCTTATCTTTCTCTTGGTTTTTTTTTTTCCAACGCACGATACGATATTAATTATTATTATATAATATCACGACGTCGGTGTATTGTTTTTTCCCCAATTGTGAACCGTTAGTTTTTTTCCTATCAAATTAACGCGTTAGAAAAACTTGCACACACACACACGGGTACACGCGTTCGCATTTAATATCGTTTATTTATCTACATAAATTTATCGTGTATTGTTTGCCGCCGTCGTACCGTGCTGTCGGTGTCGAACCCGCCCAAAACGACATACCGGCCAGCGCCTGTCGAACCCGCCGAACGCCGCCGCCACGGAGCTTTGGTCGGCGCTGTATAAGTCCAGTGAGCTTATACGCGTCGTTAACCGAACGCCCATCGTACGGCACCCGTCAGACCGACCGACGAGTTTGGGTCCGCAATCCGAATGGTTCGTATAGTGTTAGCGTACTTTAGCTCCGACAATTCCCGTAACCCTGCAAAAAGCCTATGCCGTAGGTCTGACTTTTGCGACATTCGGCTTTCCAGCCACGGCTTTTGGCCGGTAGGGAGGTCACTGGCGTTAGTATTTTTATATGGCTCAAGGCTGCTGTTGCATTCAACGTCGACAATAACACCGTGACTAATGTCCGCACAGTTTCAATTCTCTTAGTACACCCGTTGTAATAGTATTACGTTATTATAGAAAAAATTACAATCAATAACAAACGGCGAGGTCGAATGGCGATAACGGGGAGGCGCTTTTGAAAATTATATATAATATGCGATAAATACGACAATACAAACATTTGGCGTACTTCTCTTAGTGTCACACATGATACTTCATAAATTTCTAAAATTTAACATCTAAAACTACTTTGTGATTCTCTAGGGTTATATTTACTGTGTTAGTTTGAATAAATAAATAATAAAAAAAAATTAACTACTATTTTATGTGCATGGATATCGCTTTGAATTTTTCGTTAATAAAGACATTAAAAAAAAAATATATATATAATATGTTGACTGAAACAAAAATGTTTGTAAATAAAATATTGTCTATTTTTCGTCGATAAATAATACATTATTTACTAATTATTATATTTAAATCTTGCATAGATTGTAAGTGTAACAGTTGTTATAGATTAAATGTAACATAATTTTGTTGTACTTCAATGTCTTATTTCTGTCAGAATAATAATAATAAAAAAAATACATGTTATATTTTGCTGTGTAAATAGTGCGATTATTAATTTAATCGTAAATTAATTAGTTGCATTCCGTGTTATCTAATCTACTTTATTAGTTGTTTATATAACATTCATTTAATTTATTGATTGTTGGCTTATTGTTGCGTCGATAAAACTACAAATTAAGACAGGTGAGGGCTCTTGAAAAAAAAAAAAAAGATGAATTGCTAATTGTATAAAAAAGTATATAGTTAGTATGTATAAAAAAGTTGTATCTAGTGCATACCTGCTTTTCATCGAAATGTAGTATTATTATCAAATCGATAGTATCAAGTGTATCAGACACTAGTCCTATATAATTCTGTCACTTAGTTGGATGCTTGGCAACTGGCAAACGTCTGTTTTTTAAACTAAAATTAAACACATATACTATTGCCAGCCGTTAGTTGTATGTAGGTATATACGTCCGCGCAGATACCGATCCCTAAAATTTAATATAAGTAACATAATAAACACTTTATAACACTAAAATTTATGCATCTGTGATTTTTTTCCAGATTCAATTTTGAACTTGTCTTCTGCCACTTACGGCTGTGTCCTCCAAAAATCTGCAATGGTTGAGGTGTTTGCAGCCAATCAAGGCGACTGCAATTCTAATAATTTAGAAGTGTTGGACGCCACATTGAGTTCGTATAGAAGTAACACTTCGTCTCAGGATAATGTAGATTTCTTCCAGGACTACTCGGATTACCAATGGTTTGCTGATTACAGGTAAGTCGACTGGTGGCTTTAATATCAATTGCAATTATCGATATTATATTCTCGTTTGTGGTATAGGTATCGTGATTCGGATAACTTTAATCACCACCATAGTATATTGTCATCTATATCGGAAAGTTATAACGTCCCTTGCTATGAAGACGTGGCAAGAGATTTAGATGTTAATTTGGCTCATATCGATATGGAAAACCTCAAAACCGAAGATATCCACAACATACTCAGTACTTTGCCGTCTATGTGTGGACAAGATTTACAAGTATGTTAATTATTTATTAATATTTAGGATGGCGTATTTACTTATGTGGTGTGTTTGCAGAACATATCTACCGATTCTTTTTGTAAAACTAAACAATTGTTCTCGCCCGTCAAAGAACAGTCATCAAATCCTTTCATAACGTTCAGTACCGATTCTTTGGACTGTAGCGACGACATGCTGATTACGTGCAAAGCCAACAACAAGCATAACTATACGATTGCGTTTGAAGAGCCGGCTTTGGGTAATTCGGAAGATTTTCAAAACAGCGAAGCCATGAGCACGGGCGAGAGTCGTAATACTGGTTCAGGAGAAGCGTGGTCGAGTGATGGTAGCGTACCGGCTAACGTTCCAATGTTTTCAGACACTACGTTCACCACATGGAATAAGTTGAAGAAATGTACTACTTCCGAAACCAACAACAGTTCCCAACGACCTAAAGAAGTACTAATTTTCAATTGTCATTGAAATAGTCTTATTTAAAACAGTTATTAATTTCTTTCTTTTTTTTTTTGTCAGCCGCAGTCCAGTTTGTCTTCGAGTGTTAATGAAAAAACCCAAAGTTTACCCGATCTCATACCACTAAAGTTATTGTGGCTAAAGCAAAAGAATAGTCACTATAACTATCTTGTCAAGTCTACACAATCCGAGGGAGGAAACGGTAATTAAAAAAATTATATTTTATAATTATTAGCGTTACAACAAACCGATCTCGGACAGACCTTGTTATATTTTTGAATTGAAACTACTTCAAAAATCCGAAAAACTTTTATGTAACTTAAGTTTTTTGCCATTTACTTTAATAAGGCTGTGTTGCAAATATTGCCGCAACAAGTATCTGAGAATTTTAAAGGCGGCAATATGACTTATTCAAACGAGAACTTAATTGTATGAATTAAGATCTCGGCGAAAAATAAATATTTTTTAATCAAATCTGGGAATTTTCTTTAATTTAAATAACAAAAAAAAATAACTTATTTAAAATGTGTTATTCTTTAGCCCATCAATTGATAAATTATTTTTACATAATTATCATTTTTATCTTCAAAAAAAAAATTAATTTCTTGTTTTATAAAAATATATTTTTATTCGACTGTGTTTTAAATAATTTTTTAATATATTCACTGGATTTAATTATTTGAACTCTTTTTGTTTCAATCATTTGTTGTTTATAATAATTAATTTACTAACTTTTATTTAAATAAAATATTTTTCAAAAAATGCCCAATTGTTTGTAATTTGGTTTGCACATAACACATTTTTACTTAAAACTGTATTAATTAAATTTTTTTGTACAGATTTTATTATTAAAAAAAAAAAAAAAGAGCATGATACACATACTGCTAAATACCAGGCCCTGGACACTTCTGGGCAGCGGACCGATAACAGAGAATCATTTCGGTTTGAAGACGTTATTATCAATGTTTATAAATGAATATATAAAAAATTCACATGCATATATATAAATACACTGATTGCCTATAAACAAAATGGCCGAAATGATTCACATATGCTGCCCGTGTAATTTGTTATCAGTGTCCATTCTAATTGTGTAAATACTATCAACTGGCAACGATTGTACATTACATTTAATAATATACTTCTTTATTGAGATGTAAAAACTGAGCGAGCAACAAATTATCAAATTTAATAACATAATTTGTATATTTTTCTCAGTTTGATTTCCAATCTAAATTATTTGAATTTATTTCGGTTTGAACCATAATTTGTTGAGTCGCTAATAACAATACTTACTATTATGTCTTTAGCAAGTTATTAAACATTCTAATAAAATTATTTATAGACTGCAGAGCGGCAAAGCTGTTTGACGCATCCGGCGCTAAAGATCAAAGCACTAGTGCCAAGTTCAGTTTGGTAAAGATGTTCATTAGTCAAAAGAAGAATCGTCAGTCAGACGGCAGCCTAGTGATAAGTGAAAATGAAGCTACAGAATCGAGTGAACTGACGAAAAACATTCTCGACGATAGTCTTATGCCTGACAACGAAAAGTCAGAGAGTGCCAAACAAATAAGCAATAACAACTCGTCGATAATGCCAAACAAACGGCTGTGGAAAGGTTCCAGTATGAACAGGAGCATGCAGACTTCATCCATGGATAGTGGGACGAATACAAATTCAGACACTAAGGTAAAGTAGTATAGTAAAAAAAAAGGGTTTTTGAGAAGTGGTTTGCAGAAGGTTTTTTAAAAAATAATAGGGGCAACGCTTTTAATTTTTTTTTTTAGAAAAAAATTTGGAGATAATGTTTTTCATAGAACTTTCAATGTTGAATTACGTTAGTGTAAAATTATATGATATATTGTAATATAATATTGTTTGTTTTAAGTAATTTAAAAAAAAAATAAAATAGAGCTGTTTATTTTACAGTTAAATACTCTTACCTATATTTTTGCAGCTACGCTCTTAAGTGTCGAAAATGCTAGTTGTCCTTTTTGGTACACATGAAAGGATTTTTAATAAACTATATCTACTCCTTAAACACTTATGTTGCGATGAACAAATCTTAATTTTTTTTTTTTTTATTTGAAATGATATTATTGTTTAATGTTTACTAAATACATAATTTTTTTTATCTCAATTTTAGTGCGCTAACAGTCCCGTGTACGTGATGTTCCCGAGTTACACATTGCCGGATCTTTCATTCTTACAAAATCCAAAAGCTGCACTGGATATTAACAACGTGTTTCTTATGCCTCAAAAGTTTTCGCCATTGCCATCTCCCGAAGTCGAGTCGAAGAAATTATTGTCCACGCCTTTACAAGAAGAATTGTCGTCGGCGGAGAATTCGTTTGATTTAAAATCGCTTTGTGCCAAAGGATTCGAGCACGTTAACGATTGGGACTCGTTAGCCATGTTATTACCGCGTAATGTGACAATGGCCCTGTCAAAGACTCCGGAACTAAAAGAAAGATTCAAACGCATAAATTTGCATCACGAAGAACCATCTTTTTGTCAAATAGAACCAAAAGTTTGTGGCAACAAAGACAATATGTATATTTATCAGTATGACGATTCTAGTCAACATCAGAAACCGCCGCCGGCGGGTCGAGTGAATTCGAAAATTCCTATTAAAAATGAATTAAGAAGACCCATTAGCGAAGTACCAAAAAGGTTATTTCAGCAAAGAAAGATATTTTATATATTGTTTACAATGAACGTCCAAATGTAACCACGTTTTTTTTCCATTTAGGTTTAGCATGTACGACATGAAATCGGAAACCTTGCAAGAACGACAAAACAAAAGGCGTTCGCTGCCTTCACAGTTGACAATCATTCCTAATATGCCTCCTATCGTAAGAAATAATATTTGGTTTGTTTGTTTACGACATACAGGTTAAGTAATGGATTTTTTTTCTGATAGGCGGGTTCTGATGTCGGCACTTCAGAAGACGAAGGCGTTGAATGTTCCGGTAGTAATTGCGATAGTCCAAACCCGTGTAGCGATGAAGCCAAGAGACTGGATTCGTTACTGCGACAGACCAAGCAATCTCGCGCCAGCCTTAAAGCACAAGTCAACAAGTACTTGAACCGTGCCGGACACCACACGCCACCGAATTCGCCTAACCAAACTACGATTCAGGTAAAATATATTTTTTGTAGTCGTCGTGTTATTATTTCCACTTTTACTAGACCTTATTTAAACAGTGTTCTATTTGTTAAATATAATTTTTACAATTTATGTTTGTAGGCCAAACGAGGAATGGATGTTGAAAAATTTGAAGAGTGTGAAGTAAATAAACTCACCGATTCTATTTCACACAAAAAAGGTTGGTTTTTGGACAATATGCCGAGAAATAAATTTCAAAGCAAATTTTAATCATTATATTGTACTTTTGTTTAGACTTGGTCAGGAACTGTTGTTTCGCAGCCGAAAAAATTGCGTTTTGCCTCGACAACGATTATACAGAGGACTTGCATTCGGTTGTCCTGGACGTTCTTTGTCCAGCGCTCTATGCCTTGTTCAGCGAGAACCTAAAGCCCATGTTGGAAACATCATTTGGAGCAGTGCACAATTCTGTTTGGCACGTCATCGAATCTTCTTCTCAACAAGGTAAGTTTTTCAAGCTCTAATTAATAATTGAGGTAGGCCAGAATCAGTTATTAAAAAGAAACTTATCGGGTTAGGTTAAATTTGAAAGATATTAATAATCAGGTCGACAGTTTTGTAATATTTTTCATTATTCATATAGTTTAGTTATTATAAATATTTCATTCGAATTTTTAAACAATTAAATCACATTTTTACAACGTCAACTATGCATTGGTAAACTGTTGTCTATTTAAAAAAAAATTGAGACCAGTTCAATTGTTAAGCAAACAATTCAAAATATTTTTTTCGTGATTTCTAATTTTAAAAAGAAGATGTTTTTTATTGTTTTAAACTGCTTTTGTTTAAAAAAAAAAATTGAATAGTTTGCCTACAAATAGTTTTTAAGTACATGCTATTACAAAAACGTTGACCTTCTTAGAACTTATTTTTATTTATAATTTCTTGTCTTAAAAAACTTTTTTTTTAAAGTAATTTAGAGCTTCAAAGTATTTTTTTCGTTTTTTTTAAGTTACAAGATACACAAAAGCGCTAAATGGTAAACTTGTAAATGCTGTTATTATTTACTGCAATCTAAAAATGAAATGATTATTGCTGTTTTATTTGTTTAACACAAAACTAGATTTTTTTCTTGGCAATAACATTTATTTAGGTCATTGCTAAAAACAGATCACGGGGCCTTTACAGCTACACTAGCATTTATATTAAGGCGCATTGTATAGGCAATTTTTCATTAAACTTTAACATTAAGCCAAAATTTGTTGCCTACAACTTTTTACAGAAACGTAAAATGTTGTACGAAAATTAATTAATAACATTTTCATTAGTTAGGTTCAAAATAAATGGCAACATTTAGTTGAACAGAGAAGTTTGCTAATAATGAATTTTATTTAGCCCGTTAAATTAGTTGTTATTTCATTTTTTAATGTTTGTCAAATTTCGTACAATCATTTTTTCGATATTATAATTTTGATTATAACAAAAAAAAAAAAAAAATCTAAAAAATTATCTAAACATATCGGTTTGAGTTTTTATTTAAATTTGTATTTACAAATATTTTTAATTTGAATGAATTAATTTTGAGTTAATAATTTTCTAATTATTACACAAATAATAATTTGTAGTAATTATTTAAATAATTAAAACTATTATCTACTTATATTTTTGTTTTTAAAAAAACAATGCTGGGTCTGTTGAAAAGTCATTTATGAAGTAACAGTAACCGCTAAATTTGTTTTGAATTTTGGGGAATTTATTTTTATTTACCACGTTTGTTTTTAATTTTTCTCCTCCGATTTATAGGTAATATAAAATACTACACTTATAAAGTGTCAAATTATTTGATTTGTCATATCGCGTTTGGCAGTGTTTGCCGTCAATTATTAGTATAATAGAGTCGAAGATAAGGTCATTTGATATTGTATTCGTTGTAATAAAGTTTACCACGTATATTTCTACTAAATTTAGATAAAATCATTCCTAGGTCGATAAGTACCTCGACTAGCAGCTTGCTGCTTGAGTCAAGTTTATCTATTTGCTCAGGTGATGGATAGGTTTTGAGTCATCTTGGCAATAAATATTTTCTGTGTTGGAAATTGATCAATAGTTTTATACCATAAAATAATTAAAATATTTGAGACACAAATACAGTTTCCCAGTTGTTCAAGTAAACGTGCTGGCTATACGTAATGAAAATTTCATAATCACATTTTTAATTCAATTTGTTTGGTTTTGTTCATGAAAAATCACTAAATTGAACCGGTCTAGAAAAACTGTTCTACTTAAAAAAAAAAAAAAAATACATTCTTTTTATTTTTTTTTTATTAAAACATAATATCGACAGTCTTTTTATTTGTTATAATAACTTATCTTTGTTATTTAACTTCTATCTTTGACACACTGTGCTCTTTGGCTATTTTTTTAAGTTTGCATTTTTTTTTTTCAAAATTCGCCTTGAACACAAAATATAGTGTACAAATCATTCGAAAATTCCGTACAAAAAAAAATCGTTTTATATAAATCAAACAAACGTTACTTTTCGTTGAAACAAAAAAAAAAAGAAAAATAATTGTCTTAAGTGTAAAAATAAAAAAAATAAACTTCCTATCGATGTTTCTTTTGGTGTCTGACCAGTTGGTAGAGCTGACAAAAGGACTCGGGACACGTGTCGCAAACGTACGGTTTGTTAGGGCTGTGCGTGCTGCGGTGTGCGTTTAGGTTGCCGGCTTGCGTGAACCGGCGGCCGCACACGTCGCAAGCGTAAGGCGCGTCGCCCGAGTGGACGCGGGCGTGCGTCCGCAGGTTGCCCCGTTGGGCGAACGCTTTGTGGCACACGTCGCATCTGTACGGCTTTTCGCCCGTGTGCACGCGCACGTGGTTGACCAGGTTGCTGACGTGGACGAACCGCTTGCAGCACAGCTGACATTTCTTCCTGTGGGGTTCCATGTGCTCGATCAGGAACGCTTTGGTCGGGAACTTTCGCGCACACTTGCTACACTCGAACTCCCGAACGACGACGCCGCCTCCTCCTCCTTCGCCACCGCCACCGCCGGTCGAGCTACCGGCTGTTGCCTCCTCGTCTCGGCGGCCACAACTGCCGCCTGTTCCTCCTGTTCCTCCTTCGCCACCGCTACCGCCGGTCGAGCTACCGGCTATCGCCTCCTCGTCTCGGCGGCCACGGCTGCCGTTGCTCTCGTTTGTCAGCGGCTGATCGGTGTCTCTGGAACAAAATTTAATTTCCTAATGTTGTAAAGCCAACACCATTTCAGCTCTGCATTGAAGCAAACGAAATATATTCGAAACAGTTATGTTTTATTTTTCTAATATTATTTTAAATAAACATTGATCACAAGTCGCCGACATACCTGTCCATTTTGTGATGTGCAAGGCGAAATAAATATGAAAAAAAATCATTAAATAGATAAGTTATTACTGTGTATGTAGTTTTATGCATCTAAGGTGACAGATCTAATAATTTTTTTAAATATCTAAATTCAAAAAAATAATACAAATAAAAATTTATTCTTTTTCAAGAATTAAATAAAATACAATAATCGAATGAAATTGCAAATCAAAATATTTATAGTTTTTACTGATTTAAATAACGAATAATTTTGTATTTCAGTACATTTAAAATTTTTAAAATCAAATAAAAACTGACAAAAATATCAAATAAAATAAACTATTTGAAACGGTGCCTAAATAAAATTATATTTGCTTATTTTTATTTAAACTTAATACAATATTTCAAAAAATTTGTCAGGTGTTATGTGAGGGTACAAGATTAAAATTACAAGTCATGATAGATGATCAATTTATAAAATAATATTAATGAAACTTAAAAATAAAATTAAAAAAAAACTGACTACTAATTTTTGTTTTAAATAGCCAAAACTAAAACAAATTTAGGTGACAAAAAATATAATTTTGTTTTGTATATGACATGAAAAAGGTAAAGTTTGATTTTGAACATAATTTGTAATTTTTTAGATTTCAACCATTTTTTCATACTTTAGTTTGAGTTGGCACTATTTTAAGGGGTGTTCTTTGTGTGAATAGTTTGAAAGTTTACACGTGCTTTACAGCTATATTTTTTTTATTCAAAATATTGCCTGTGAAAAATAAGATTATTGTTGGCAAATGTATACTTGTTTTTTAAAATAAATAAATTGAGGAATTTTACGTTTTATTTAATTTTACGTTTTTGATAAGGTTTTAAACGATTAAATAAAACAAAAAAAAATGTTACTAATATATTGCTTAGAAAAGTGGTGACTGTTAAAATATTTTTTCTACTTCAATATATATATATATGTATTTTTTAATTAATCATTAAAACCCCTCTTTCAAATTAATGCCTCGATTTTAATTTAATACCTATATGATTAAAAGATCATATTTAAAAACTTAATTAACTTGAAAATATTAAAAACAAATCGTGTGGATATCAATCGAGAAGTTTTATTAAGTTTATTAGTCATATTGTATTCCTAGTAAGATTCATTTATTTTAAAAAATTGGAATATATATATATTTTTTAATTGTTTTTGTTTTTGCTGTACTTAAAAAGTATAACGTGATACTGACATTTAAAACTGGAAACAATATTTTCTATTTATTGAAAAGTTAGATATAATATGTATCTTTTTTGATAATGTCTGTTACTCAAGTCAGAGTATTATAATGAAGAACGATTTTTTTATTTAATCGTAAAAGGACAAAAGCTATTTTATGAAAAAGAAATGTATAAATACGAAAAATTGTAACTATTTTCTAAAGCGATTGGCGACGAATTTGGCCAACAACACATTACTTAAAACCTTTACATGGGCAAAACGAACGATTAAAATTGTGTACATACCTTTGAAGTTAGTTAATCCATAACAGGTGTCTTGAAAAAAACTTAGTAGTAGGTATATGAATTTTTGTCATAACAATTTTCTTTGACCAAACGTTAGCGTTTTATTTTTAAATCAATAATTCGAGTGTTTTAGTTAGGTTTGCAAAGGTTAGTTTAGGTTTGGTTTGGGTTAGGCTAGGTTGGGTTGGGTTAGGTCTGATTATATTAAGTTAGGTTGTTTGACAAAAAAAAAAAAAATAATCAAATAATTTTCGCTCTCAAAAATTCCAAAATTCCCTGACCGATGGCGGCGGCGGCGCCTGTTCTTGGGTAACCGAATCTATTACAATAATGGCCATGTGGCCGCGTTTGGTTGCGGGCGGCCAAACATTATGAAAAGTAATAAACGATGCACAACCGAGTAGTAGTTATAAACACAGTAGTTATAATTAAGTGGTCATAAACTTACGGGCGGTTATCGGTCATCTGCCAGGTTAAGTACAACACCCGTTTCAGGTGGTTGACGCCACCACGTTTACGCACCCCTGCGACTTGAGTCCGGTCCTAAGTCCTTGTCCGCTGTGGTGCAGCTCTCCAACGAACGAGTGTCATAGTATTTTTGCCCACTCCCCTCTCTCTACGAAAGCGTTTTGAATAAAAATATATAATATTTTCAATTGTATATTATTATACTCTCATTAACGATAATGGCAACGGTACTAATCGTGTGTGTGTGTGTGAGTATTATTTTCCGGTTGGGATTTGTGATTTGTGTCTATTTCCGTCTGATTGAATTCCTTTATCTGTTGATTTATTACCGACTGTCCAGGGCGTTCTGTCGCTTTGATTTATTGCCCGTGGCACCACATTGTACTTAATATATCGGCTTGTTTGACACCACAATTATTATACTTGGCAGATAAAGTTTTGTGAAGTGAACATTCGATAATTGCACGAAATTCGCCACGAAATATCCACTCGCGACAGCAGCAGCTATTATTATGACCAACCCGTCGGGTTGTCCTTAAATTTAAAATAATAATAACATGGCGCGCCCTTGTTAAAACGCTTTCATACTACTTACATGATGAATAAGTTGTTTTTGAAAAAATCCCTTTTTTTTTTCTACGTTTCTCACCTCTTCAATATAATACCCAACAACGTATAAATTTAAAAACAATGTTATATTTTTGGTACAAAATTAACTAACGGGCAAAGACATGGACTTCGAATACAAATTATAACTATAGTATACAAAATACTAATATACTTAATACACGTAAATGTACTTATAATATTATATAAATTATAATTTTGATGATACATATTTCACGGCAAACATATTCAACAACTTACACACACATTAATTTAACGTCAAATATTGTCCAATTTAGTAAAGTTAAAAAGAACACATTAAATTAGATTTTTGTTAAAAAACAATATTATACTACAATATTAATTATATTTAGACTTGTCGAACATGTTAATCAATCAACTGATTTTTCTTTGCAGGTGTACTGTCTACAGCCCTCAACGAACTTACCATGAAGATCAACAATGAACTTGCGCTCAACGAAGGTGTAATGAAGTTCAACGCGTTTATCTTCGGCTTAATGAAGTAAGTAAAGCCACTTTTACAAATATACCCGAATAACAGCGATAATAATGAATTTTTTTTTATCGTTATAGCGTTGGCGGATTGGACGCATGGCTAAGCTACATGAGAACTAGGGAGTCTGTCTGGCAAAAATACTACACCCGTAACGCTCTGTTTGTCCGTGCCAATTTCGGCTGCACTTTGCACAGAGATCTAGTCGACCGTCTCGTCGCGGCCTCCAAACCTTTGGCCAAACACAAGCCCGACTTTGATCCGCTCTACGAGTGCCGTAAACTTCACGAGAGCCTATCAAACATAAATGTAATTATTTTTCGATTCACATTCCATATAGTAGGCCGGAGGATAAAATATTTTTCATGTTTACCATAGAACCGAACCTCTTGGTTGTTGAAGAAGACTGCCAGAACTTTGGAAAACGAAGCGTCGAGGCCTCGGTCGTACGTGGACTCGTCCAAAACTGTCGATGTTGCCAGCACGGCTAGCAAACGTTGGAGCGGCGTACCGATGGGATCGAAACTGGCTACGGCGTTTGAACGTCTTGAAAACATAGACGAAAGAACACGGTTGGTTACTGAAAAAATATTATTAGTTTCTTGAATCGGTTTGCATTGAAATGTTATAATGTATTTACTTGTTGTCGGAACGCGATAGGGTGGAGGTCGAGAACAACGCAGATACGGAGAAGCCGGTGCAAGGAAATCGTTTTAGAAGACTGCAGATGAAGTGGGAGTTGTTGAGCACCAAAGACCTAACCGTGGACACTCCCGATTTTGATTCTCCCCAGAGCGACTCGTCCAAGTCATCAAGGTACAACTCAATCGTAACATCGTACGCCCTACAACCGGACCTTTAAATCTAATCGTTACCTATTATAATTATATTGTTATATTTGTCGTTTTACCTTGTAGGAGAATTTCAAAATCTCGCATACCTCGGCTAGTCCTTTCACCTGTTCAACCGATCCAGGATCTCTTCGGTAGTAGTAGACGCCCGACGACGGCCACTCATAGAGTCGAGTCGCCGACTTCGCCGTTGACAAGTAGAATAGAATCTGCCACTTCCAACACCAAGTAAGATGATTCTTTTGAAAATAATACCGTTAAAACTGAAATTTTGATCTTTTGGCACTATATTATATTTGCTATGACCTATTTCAGATCCAAAAAACCGCCGACGACGTCTGCGACCAAAGCCGTGCGGCCCAGCAGTTTACCGCAGCGAAAACCCAAGGAGCCCGTACGATACGTGCGAACTCTGTCGCATCGTCTTTCGGCCGACAACGGCCATCTGTCGTTCAATGAGGGCGAGAAGCTGCAGCTGGTGCTCGACGTCGACGACAAGTGGATACTGTGTTGTCGCGGCGCGCGTAAGGGATTAGTGCCCAGATCGTCCGTGCTGGCCGTTTCTAAGTGAAACTTGACCGAAATCTGGAAATTTTAACATTTTTCATTCTCTCTGTTCTCTTTTTTTCTTTATGTGTATTGTATGTAATGGTCTCATTTTTTTTTCTTTCGTAATTTATGTTTATTTATGTACATTTTATACACGTACGGACTGTTATGTTCGACTGACGATGTGACGCGTCGCCGTTTGTACATTAAAAAAAAAAAAAGGGTTTAAGTGCAATCGTTGAGTTTTGGCTTGATTTCATTTATTATTTTTTTTTAACGATTTTGTTTGGCCAATTTTTGTTTCATTTTTTTTTTATTATAAGAATTCAAAATTGCGCTTAAAAAAAGAAGATAGGAACTTGTTGTTTAAATGGAATTGGGTGCTTTTTTTCTTTTAAAAAAAAAATTATAATTTTGCCGTGTGTTTTGTTGTTTGTTTGTTAAATAATAATAATAATAATAAAAAAAGTCATTTTTATTTTACAGTTAACTACTAATCGTTCATATCATAATGTGTAATGTGTTACTTTTTTTTTTAAATTAGCGTCTGCTCGTGCTCGCTATTCGAAGTCGGGTCATTTCCAAATAGGCCAACGCAACGATTTTTACTTTAAACTTGTTTGAAAAAGAACAGTTATAACAATAATAATAATAATAATAATAATAATGATAATAATAATAACAATGATAATAATAATAATAATAGTGATAATAATAATATAGCTAGTAATTTCTAAAAAAGGAAGGTTTTTTTTTTTCCACAAAATATCTTGTACCGTTATTTTGTAAGGCTTTTTTTTTTTTGTTACCGGATTTATTATTAGCCGCTGAGGCCTTGTATGTTCAAATCGTAAACAAAAGTAACCGATGGGAATATATAAGGCCTCAGTGTTTTTTTACGTCGATCGTTCGTGCTGCTACCGAACGGTCGTCGTGTGTATTATTATTATTCGCCGATAGTTCACTTACGTCGTACCCTTGAAAGTCGTTAATTTAGTATGCACTTAGTAAATTTTAAGTAAAGAATACGCTCGACTAATATTTTGCTTTGTTTTATTATATAATTCTTAGGATAGTATAATATTTTATCGTATTGTATATAAATGTTTTTCATTCGTTTGGTTTTATAGTTTTTAAATAATATTGTATTTTATAATTTCTACTAAGATTTTATTTTTTGTTATTTTTTGTTTGTTTTAATTAAACAAAATAAGACTGCTTTTAACTTGGTATGATTATTTTTTAAATTTTTATTCTGTATAAAAAAAAAAAAAAGAAGAAGAAAAATCCAAATATTATAATATTAACCGCGATATATTATGTACGCTTACCAGTTATATATATATACATATATATATTATTTTATATCGATCGAAAAATATATCAATATTATATTAATATTTCATTTGTCATTAAATTAAACTATTGAAAAAAAAGAGGCCACATAAATAGTTTATTTATAAATACCATATAATTATTACAATATTATGTTAATCGTAATTAATACATAGTTGTTGCAATGTAATATCAATTAAAAAAAAATACCAAAGTGGCGCAATAGCCAGGTGAAGCATTTTGAAAAGTATTGAAACGTATGATTAATTGTACCTGTATCAAAATATAATGGCATTATAAATTATCTCCAGTTTTTTTTATTTACCCTTTATACAAATACATATAATATTTTGATGGCGAATTCTGTAAAAAAAAGATTTGATTTCAGTTTGAAACGTCAACATTGTAATTATCATACGACTAGTCTGTAATGAGCAGACGACTGTTGTTAATAATTTTATGATATGTCCAGACACAGCAAAAAAAAAAAAAAAACAGCAATAGAAAATCAGCACAGTTTAACCCTTCACACATCAAACCAAGCACGATTTAAACCAATATATATATTTTTTAATGTACACATTTTTTTTTTATTTAAAAAACCTATGACAAAATAACGTAAACAAATTTCAAGTTTGAAAGTCCACAATAGTAGTCTTTAAAATACACATTCGAAATGTTCGAGTTGACTTTTTGGGATTTTTCATTTTCTCCAGACCAATTCTCGGCGAACTCTCGAATCCGTGTCAAATCGTGGAATTTCCACTTGTTCTCTCTGGCCAGAACGGCGTTCGCCAACAGATAACAACACAATGAAAACCTGTGTGCTGTACATGAGTATTACCATAATCATAAAGCAACGCGCGTTTTCAAAACAACTGTTTTAGAGTATATAATTGTTGTACACGCTGTCTTTACACGCGTTAGAGAAGAAAACGTTAATTTATTAATCACCTTCGTTTGTCGACAAATTGTTGCTGGCCGCGAATAACGGAAAATCCCAAAAAGTGACTCAAACCTTGTTTGAATGTGGATTTAGATGTGGACTGTTATGGATGGAAGCTAAAACACAGTCGACAATTTCAGTCAAACGCGATTACGAATAATATAGCGTTATTTGCGCCGACTTATTTGGAATATATTATTTTTCAAACCAAAGCCAATGTTGTGTGCGTCACACCGATTGAACTTAAACGGTAAAAGTTCTACAATAATTGTCATTATGTATGCCAAATTTGCATGTCTTCAAAGCGTGCTGTGTTCTAGTTGTGTTGTATAAACGCGGCCAACAGCTGCTGTTGAATAATTATTTGTTTAATCTCGAGTGGGCGTCTAAACGAGGTGCGAAATAAAATTACATTTATTTTGATTTTATGAATACGAATATTGCGCATAGATGAACATCTGAGAAAGGTTTTGTTATAAATTAGATGAGTTTCAGTTGATAGCTTCGAATTAAAATAATATGTTAGATTTGGTTAGGTTAAATATGAAAATAACATTAATGCAACTTAAAAATAATATGTATTTAATAAAACAACAGTGTCTGGTTAATGATGATTTTTGCTTTAAATCACCGAAACTAAAACAAAATTTAATATTGTTTCAGGCGTTTGTATTTTGAGTTGGCACTTCTGTTTTAAGAGGTGATTTTTGTTTTTGTTTTGATAACAAATATTTTTCTTAGACTTCTTCGTGTGAATAAATTATTTGAAATTGTACACTTGTTTACGACTATATTTTATTCTTAAAATTATTGACAGTAAAAAATAAGGTTGACAAAGGTATGCTTGTTTGTAAAATAAATAATTGAGACTTTTTTATGTGGTATTAAATAATTAAGTGTTACCTACACAATAAAATAAAATAGAAGATGGTTGGTTTTTTTTATTATGAAAGTTAATCATTAAAAACAACTCTTTTGATTAAATTTCTCGATTTTAATTAAATATATTATGATAAAAGGATCACCCTTGAAAATTAAATCGACACTTGAAAACAAGTACAAATATCGTGTTTGGGTTTAAATTGCAAGTTTTATTCGGTTTTTTAAACGTCGAATTGAAGATTAATTTTTTAGTAGGGTTTATTTATTGTTGAAAACTCAAATATTTATTAATTTTCTTAGCATATTATTTTTTGGTTTTTACAATTCATTAAAAGTACAACGTATGATTGGATAATTACACATTTATTGTTTTGTTTTAACATCTCAATAGCATTTTAAATTGGAAATAGTGTTTTGTATTTATTGAAAAGTTAACACAAGTATATTATTCGATAATGTCTTTTAAATTTATTTAACGAATAACGAATAAAATAATTAAAGTCAAATGTTTTTTTCAACGGACAGTCGCCCGCCTGTATAGTGATTTATATAATCGGAAAATCTATATTAGAACCGTTACTTATGAAGGGTGCTAAGCAAAAGAATTTAAACTAGAATAGACATTTTTCTTAAAATTACTCTAAAAACTGTATCTGTGTTTTCTCAGACACACGATATAAATGCAATTAAAAAACCTTTTTTTTTTAATCTTATTCGAAAAGTAAGTATTTCGGAAAAGAAATAAACCAATATTCTATTCGTGTAAAATGGTCGAAAACTTTGGACTCCTTGAGCAGACCGAACCAGTTGATCACTTGGAAATCGACCTCGTAGGTAATTTTCTGGACAAAGCTGACGAACACTTCGGCGCACAACAAGCTGTTCGGCACGGAAATCCACTTCATCGGGTAGTACTTGACGAGTCTGCAATCTCTGACCACACGTTCGATCGCGTTCGTCGACTTCTGGTCGAGTGGTTCGTCGACCGCAACGTCGACGGCGAGCCGCACGCCGTTGCCCATACGCGTCGACACTTGTTGCAAAAAGCTGAGTATTTCTTGCACGCGCTCTTCCGCCCGGCCGGGCGTGTCCGTCATCATGTCGACGACCCGTTTCAAATGGCCGTCGTCGTTTAGGTCAATGTGTTCGGCCAGGACGGCCAACAGACTGGCCATCCGCCGGTTGTACGCGGAAATCGTCAACGGCTTGTGTTTGGAGGCCGCGCGCTCCATGTACAACAAGTGCTGGGCGGCCATCCGCAACGCGATCGCCTTGAGCAAGTCGACGAAATCGTTTTGGAACTTTGTCAGCGCGCCGACGACGCCGGTCAGACGGCCGCGCGGACTCCGGCTGTCCCGGTACGAGCGTTCCAGGCTGTCCAAGATCGGGTCCCAGTCCAGCTGCGCGCCGAAAGCCGTCCGCAAACCGTCCAACAACGGTTGGTCGTCCATCACGTGGTTCAAGCGCAGTTTTTCGACGGAGAACCGTTCCGGGTCGTCGCCGGTAAGATCGTTTGCGGCGTTGTGTTGGTACTGCTGCCAGAACCTCTGGCGGTTTTCCAAAGCCCGCCGCGGTCCGCGCAGGTCAGGTTCCGCGTTTGCGGTCTTGATGTCTTTCCTCTTGGCCGTTTTATACAAGCTGCTGCTGCTGATGTTCGTGGGCAGCCCGGTGGCCGGGTCCAACGCTCTGCAATCGTTGGACCTGACGAAATCGGCCAGAAGCATGTCGACGGCACCGTGAGCGTCGACCACCGCGCATTCGTCCGGCTTGTTCGCGTCGACCCGATATTTGCGCACGAACTCGGCCACCATCTCGGCGTACACGTGGAACAGCCACACGATTTCCGCGATGCCGTCCCATTCGCCGTCGTCGTTGTCCCGGTGCATGACGGCCAACATGGTGGCCGATTCTTTGGTGAACACCACGCCGGCTTCCACTTGCCGGTCGCTCAGCGTGGACAGTTTTTCGGGGTTCGTCAGATAGTACTCGGTGTAGCGCATGTGCAACAGGGCGAAAAACGCGTAGCCGCAGTGGAGCTCTTTGTACGACCGCCGCACGAGCTCGGTCAGGCTTCGCGCGGATCTCGTGTCTTCTTTGTTCGAACGCTCGTGGTAAGCGTACCCGCGGTCGAATATCTGCAGCCAGCTTACAGTTTCCAAAAGCCCAGCTTTGTCGTCGTCGTCGGTACGCCACACGACCGCCGTCACTCGAAAACTGACAGCGGACAACAACAACAACAACAGAACATATATTTGCCGCCCAACCATCGTCACAGTGCAAACCGCGCACAAACTACTATTATAAACGCGTTTTGTCTATTTTCTTTATACTGCAATGTATTGTTGTTTAAGGCAAACAATAGAAGTCTACAAAATCCGTTTTATTTATTTTGTTATTGCCGCCTAGTCGACGTCGAACACAGTTTTGTTGTGTTTTTTTTTTTTAAACAGCGAAAACTGTCCAAAAGGAAACAGACAACCGACACTTAGACTAGGCGTTCGCCACAAACAAACAGAACTCTGCATTCGTGTTGTTTACACATAAGTGTCGCGTGTGTGCTATCATATACTAACATTTAAAAATATGGAAAAAGACAATAAGCGAATGAATAAAAAAAAAAAATGTAGATGGCCCACAATTCAATGTACACGCGTATAGATTATCTATTTCTTAGTTCGGATACATAGTTTTAAAAAAAGAAAAATAGTTGTCGGAAAAGTTCAACCCATATGGTCTTATAATAGCTGTTTAAGCGAAATTATAAATGTATGTATTGTTTATACTAAGTAAACGTTGACTCTATGACTATAGCTTATAATATTATGCATTTTAAGTGCGTTTTTTTCTAATCCCCTCCTCGTTTTTTATTTATTTAGATCCGCCCCGGAATTAGATCGGGGGTTAACAAACGTAAGTTCAACAATACAAGAATTATGGATACTATTTTTTATTTAAATATATTAAATTTTTATTTATTTGGCAATAACATGCGTTGGCAGGTAGACGGATAAATCAAAACGAATATAAGATTGAACTATTGAACGCGTTTAAACTAATATCATAACGTTATAATGTGATTTATTATGTAGATATTTTTGCAAGCACTACAAGACTATGTTGGGTGCCTAATCATAGTTCTAACACGGTGAGCAGTTGGAAGGCTTTGGTTTTGTTGACCAAACCGAACGAACCGATCACTCCGAAATCGACCTTGTCCGTGACTTTTTTGACAAACTTGACGAATACTTCTGCAGCGAGTAGACTCTCTCTGAACGAATGCAAAATCGTACGGTGGTTGGAAGCGTTCAGTTCGAAATCCCTGGCGACCTTTTCGACGGCTGCTATGGACTGCTTGATGAGCTGGTCGTTGACCACGATGGGCGTGGATTGCACTTGTACTACACTCCCCTTGCAGCAACCGGCCGCCGTTTCTTTTTGAAATTCCAAGATGCGCGCCAAATGATCGTCGATCTGTT